GAGCTCCCTTCACGTCTTTATTCCTCAGGGTGTAGATGAAGGGGTTGAGGGTCGGGGTGATTATGGAGTAGAAGAGGGAGATGAACTTGCCCTGCTCTTGGGAGTAGCTAGAAGGGGGCTGCAGGTACATGTAGATGGCAGGCAGGTAGAAAAGGGAGACCACCACCAGGTGGGAGGAACACGTGCCAAAGGCCTTGCGCCGTCCCTTGGACGACTGGATCCTGAGCACAGCACGGGTGATAAACCCGTAGGAGAGAATGATGAGAGCTAGTGGGACCAGCACAAAGAAGGCCACCAGCACAGCCAGCGTGGTGTCATTCACAGCCGTGTCGGCACACGACAACTTGATCATGGCTGGCACCTCACAGAAGAAGTTATTCAGCACCTGCCGCCCACAGAAAGGCAATTGCACTGTCAGGGCTACCTGAACAAGGGAGTTGCCGAAGCCGCTGAGCCAGGCCGCCGCCACGAGCTGCTGGCAGAGGGCGCGGTGCATGACGGCAGCGTACCGGAGGGGCTCACAGATGGCCACGTAGCGGTCCAGGGCCATGGCGGCCAAGACCACGCACTCAGTGCATCCCAGCCAGTGGAAAATTGCATACTGCACTGTGCAGCCGCCGTAGCTGATGGTCTTCTTGGAGCTGCCCATGTTGACTAGCATCTGAGGGACCGTGGTGGCCGTGTAACAGAGGTCCAGGAAGGACAGGTGGCTGAGGAAGATGTACATGGGGCTTTGCAGCTGGGGATCCAGCCGGGACACCAGGATGATGGCAATGTTCCCTAACATGGCCAGAATGTAGAACACTAGGAGGACCACAAAGAGAGGCAGCTCCAGCCATGGCCTGTCCGAAACACCCAGGAGGATGAAGTGTTGAGGGGGATTCCCCAAGAAGCTCTGGTTGTCACTTCTCATGTCGAGGCATTTTCTGGCACCTGGGACAAATAAAAAAATAATGGAATGGAAGGATAACGCAGAGAGGGCACGAAGCGACTTCCTCCCCCGTCGCCGTTTCTGCGGCAGCCGGCGGCCTCCCGGCCCCCCGGCCCGCCGGTGCAGGGTGCCCCGCCCTCCCCGCCCGCCCGGCCGGTGGCAGGGCCCCCGGCCTCCCCGCCCCTCCCGGCGCCCCGCCCGCCGTTCAGGGCCGCGCCCTCCCGCCCCCCTCCGCCCGCCCGCCCGGCCGGTGCAGGCCCGCGGCCCCCGGCCCTCCCGCCCGCCGCCGGGTGCAGGGCCCGCGCCTCCCGCCCGCCCGCGCCCGCCGTGCAGGGGTCCCGCTGCCCGGCCCGCCCGGGTGCAGGCCGGGCCCTCCGCCCTCCCGCCCGCCCGCCGGTGCAGCCCCGGCCCCCTCCCGCCCGCCGCCCGGTGGCAGGCCCCCGGCCCTCCCGCCCGCCCGCCGTGCAGGGGCCCGGCGCCCTCCTCTCCCGCCCCCCGCCCGGTGCAGGGCCCCGGCCCTCGGCGGCATCGGTCCTCGGCTCGCTCCCGCCCCAGACGTGGCCTAACGGAGGGCGTTTGGTCTTTCTGAACTGCAGTTCCTGCGTCTGTAAAAGGGGGAGAAAACACCTGCTGCAACTGCAGAGCCCTGGGGACGTGGAGGGACGCGAAGCAGGTGGAGCGCGCTGCGCGGCCGTTTATTCCGATTTGGCCCGAGCCTCCGCAGCCCGCGGCCATCGGCACGTTCCGCTTCTCTGCGCGGACACTCCTTCGGCTTCCCTGCTTCTGGGGGCCGGAGCCGGGCGCGCCGGGCGCAGAGCAAGCAGCAGGGGCTGTGAGCAGCCAGGGGCTCTGTGGGCGCGGCCACCGCCCACTGCCTCCCGCCACTCCAGCTGGCTCTGCCCGGACGGCCTCCCTCCCCGGCCTCCCGCCCCGGCCTCCCGCCGCCGGCCCCTGCCGGGCTCGCCGCGCTGCCTCGCAGTGCGGTGCGCTCCGCACTGTCCCAGGTCCCCCAGCCCCTGGAGTTGAGGGGCCAAGTCACATGTTACTGTAGCCCCTGAATTGGTCATGGCACCTAGTGAGACCCCAGAGCTTAGACGAATTTTGAGCACAAGGAGAAAACTGTTGACCAGTGCAAGAGACATAGCCCTGGAGTTGTCTGCTGAAGGATCAGACTGCGTCTACAGCTAACTTCGGTCTCATAGCTTGAGTGACATTTGAATTTCCTGGACAACTTCTTTGCCAAGCAGCTGAGGCCTGTCGGTGACGGCAACACAGCCAGTTTGGTTTCTGGACGCCCGCGCTGATTCACGGGCCTCTGCCCAGAGCCCTGCTCCTGCGCCTTCCGGGAACCTCCCGTGTGCTCCACAGTGAGGCTGGGAACAGGTAAATCCCAGGTGCAGATAATTTAGGAAGAATTCATTTTTAGTTCTTGATTTGGTGCTTTGTGCACAGACTGTAAAATTAATGGATATCTGTTCAGCTTAGACGTTACAACTAGCACTCCCCGCCCCCCCTTGCATTGATAACGGAAGAACTCTGCTGTTATTTGAAAACAACTCAAACCCCAGGGTTTGAATGGATGAATAAGTGCACATTTTTTTTTTCTCTTTCTGTAGTTTCAAAAATATATATTACTTTCTATAAAGTTTCCAACATTCTTGTTGAACAATTATTGCACTTCCTTCTAAGATTCTATCAACAGTACTTTCGGGATAAATTCCACAGAATACAGTGTCATCACTAATGCACGCAGGCCCCAGCTTGGGCGCAGCGAGCACTGACCGGGCAGATTCAGGCCAGCACATTTTTTAAGCCCACTTTTTAAGATGTAAAGGAATCGTGCGTGACATTTCCCTTTCTTAGATTTCTGATTCCAATGTTTCTTCTCAGAGTCTAAACTGGAGAAGTAGGGGCGAAGATGCAGGACAGTGAAGAATGAAGTAAAAGGACAGAGAAAGCAAGAACGACAGGCGGGTAGATATGCGCCGCATTTAACAATGAAGACAAGTTGCGGAGCACTCACTATGAGGCAGGTCCTGGGACAATGACGTCACGTTGCTGTGGCATCTCAGCAAGGTCCTCTTTGTCACCTCCGTCTCACTGCTGAGGACACTGGCTCGGGGTCACTGTCGGCCTTAGATCGCTTACGTGGACCCAAGTGGCAAAGACAGGGCTGAAAGCCACGCTCTTGCTCTTAACCACTATTCTCTCCGGCACTTTGCTTTTACTTTTAATTTTTGAACATTTATTTATTTTTATTTTTTAGAGACAGGATCTTGCTCTGTCATTCAGGCTGGAATGCTGCAATACGGTCATCACTCACTGTAGCCGCGAACTCTTGGGCTCCAGTGATCCTCCCGCCTCAGCCTCCCAAAGTGCTGGGATTATGGGAAAAGCCACCGCATTGCACTGTGGCCGCACTCTGCTTTCCTAAGAAAGCAGCTGATGACTTGGAGAGCAGCAAAAGCGTCAGTGCAAATGACTGAGACAAAGACGCTGGGAAGGAAGATGAGAGAGAATCACGTCCCAGGAGAAAAAGGGGCAAGGGGACTAAAGAGGAGAGAATTTTTGTAATTAGAGTTCAGTGTACCATGCACACACATGGGCATGTGCACACACCACACGCACAGGCACACCACACACACGCACACCACACGCACACCACACACACACACCACACGCACACCACACACACCACACACACGCACACCACACACACCACACACACCACACACACCACACACACCACACGGGATTTTTATAATGAAAGAAAAGCCACCGCATTGCACTGTGGCCGGCACTCTGCTTTCGCCTAAGAAAGCAGCTGATGACTTGGAGAGCAGCAAAGCGTCAGTGCAAATGACTGAGACAAAGACGCTGGGAAGGAAGATGAGAGAGAATCACGTCCCAGGAGAAAAAGGGCACGGGACTAAGAGGAGAGAATTTTTGTTGTAATTAGAGTCAGTGTAAACCATGCACACACATGGGCATGTGCACCACACCGACAGCGCACTCAGCACACCACACACACGCACACCACACGCACACCAACACCACAGCCACACACACACACGCACCACACGCACCACACGCACACCAACGCACACACCACACACAACACACACACCACCCACACACAACAACACACACACACACACACACCACCACACACACACACACACACACACCACACACACACACCACACACACCACACACGCACCAACACACACACACACACACACACACACACGCACCACACACACACACCACACACACGCGCCACACACACCACACACACACACACCACACACCACCACACACACCACGACACACACACCACACGCACACCACACGCACCCACACACACACGCACCACACACACACCACACCACACACACACACACACGCACCACACACACACCACACACGCACCACACACGCACCAACACACCCGGCCACAACACACACCACACACACCACACACACCACACACACACACCACACACGCACCACACACACGCACCACACACACGCACCACACACACACCACACACACCACACACACCACACACGCACCACACACACACACCAACAACACACACACACACACACCACACACAGCACACTCACACGCACACCACAACACACACACAAACACGCACACCACACGCACCACACACAACACACCACACACACACACACACACACCCAGATACACCACACACCACCACACCACAACACACACACACAACACCACACACACACACACCACACCACCACACACACACACCACACACACACACACACACGCACCACACACACACACCACACACATACCACACACATACCACACACACACACCACACACACTATCAACACCATACCACCACACACAACCACACACACCACACACACACCACACACACAGACACACACACCCAACACACCACACACGTACCACACACACACACCACACATACACCACAACAGGGCACCACAACACACCACACCACACAACACTACACACACACAATACACCACATACACCACACACACACCAACACACACACACACCACACACACACACACACCACGCACACAACATCCAACACACACACCACCAACCACAC